GTATAAACCTATATAAGGGAATTGTACCCTTTTCCCTTTTTAGTTTTGTTATTACAGCCTCCAATATAACAAGAAACACAATTTGTGTTTCTATAGATGGGTGTTTTTGTCTCTGCTATTAAACTCATAGTGGAGAAATTTCTCCTAAAAACATACTTCATTTATACTGGTTCCTTTGTATGCAATTCACATTTATTCAGCACCCATTCATTCTTGAGCATATCTCTTCTTGTTTTACCATTCACACTTCTTAAGTACCCCATTTCCATTGTATTCAATTTAGTTTTATATTTCTACTGAGATAACCAATTCTCACTTCCATCTTGCAGAGTGGACAGAAGCATGCTGTTACAAACGGCCATTTGTAGTTTCTTCAGCACATATTCATTTCTCCAAATAGAGAGTACATTTATCACTACTTTTCTAACAGCATTTGCACTTCTTAAAACCTCTTCATCTAATTTCTCATCTTTAATAAACTTTCTCCCAAGGTACACAACTTCATCTACTTATTCTACTTTCTGACCATGTTTGTATTACTTGTAATATTTCACTCCATTTTCCCTGTCAAACACAGCTACCTTGGTCTTTGATACATTGATTTTGAAATCCATATTTTTTGTTACATCATACAACCTAATATCTGCAGGAAATAATTTAGTTTCTCAACCAATAACACATAATTGTTTGAATAAAAAATTCACTCACATCCCCTGTCCCCTCCATCAGTTGAAGCAATCCTTTACCCATAGGCAACATGGCAACATTCAACTCCACACTCACAGAAAACATTGCATAATCCAAGCCTATTCACTTTATCATATTTTTTATAACTCAATAGACATACATTAAACTTTCTCACATTCACACATTTGGAAAAGAAAAATTTGATCTGCATACCTCTTGCCCAACATAAAGCCACATTATATTTCTCAAAGTTTGTCCATTGTCACCTCTTAAACCCCTTCAATCTGAATTCTGCCAGACGTCAGAAGCACGCTTAACAAACCAATTGTGCTGTCATTTTTCTTTCATTCTTGCTACTTTCCCTTTGCATAGTGGAACCGTACAGGCTTTCTTCCAATTGTCAGACACAAATAAAAGTCTTCACATTCCTAGTAAACAAGTACCGCAGCTATTCCATAAGCAAACTACATCCATATTTTAACATTCCACTAGTTATACTATTAATACTTGTTATTATTATCATTCTCACAGCACTTAATTAATATTTTCCACTAATTTTTGCTCACTTATTTTTTTCCAGTTCTGATCTTTGTGATTCGCATGAAGATCTCTAAAATACTCTTTCCAACATTCTCTCATTTCAATTTTATCCTTTTTTTTTTCATTTTTTTCCACATCACTTCATCAGTTTTATTTTTAATTCTATTCAATCTATTGGAAGCATCTTCTTCAGCCTTCTTCATCTACTTCCAAAACAACTTTTTATAATACATAATAAATAAATAAAATACTATAATAATACAAACACAATTCTTTTCACTCTATTCCAAGCAGTTCCCACACCTTCCTTTCTTATTTCCACTTTTCACCATTTTTTGGGGGGAAACTAATCTACTTTCTAATACTTTTTCATATAGGAACCATACTTTCTTTTCTTTCAATCATTCTACTATCACTCTAGAGGATTTTTTTTCCTTCTATGTGCATTTTTCCCTGAAGATCCACTTCTATGCTATCAAAAAAATTATCCCATATCCATAACCTCTCATCACTGTTGTATTTTTCAAAATTCTCCCAACCTTTCATCATAAATGATCAAAACTGCCTTGCTTTTGTCTTTATATACATTCCTTTTCCATGTGTATATATGAACAGATTTATGCTTAAGCCACATATATGAAACAAACAGACCTTTTTGTTAGCAGGTAACGGTAACTAATGGTAACCAAAGAGTTACCATTCAAATTCCTCTTGGAACTCCAAATGACTGTGAATTTTTCTGTATTATCTTGTCTTGTTCCTACTGATCTATTCATGTCACCTAGAAGAATGAGTTTTCCCCCAGAATTCATTCTTTTAGGTTGCACAATTTCCCCCAAAACTCATGTAGCATTCCTTCTTTATCACTGTTCACTGGTTATCTCCACCTAAGAATTCCTACTTTCAGATGTACTTGCAACCCAGATGACAACAATTCATATTTTTGACATACATTTTGCATTCATAATTAAACCTACACTCTTTCCTGCATGTACCCCATTCCACAAGATCAGATTACCTTCATTCCGATCTATTACACCCTTCCTGCTCCCTTAGTTTCATAGACACACAAAAAATTATTTTTTTCATTTGTTATTTCTTTACCATTTAACCTTTCTTACATTCCAGATGGGCCCACAGATATTGACTTCCACCACCCGTCATGGGTTTGGTAATCAAGGCTGTCACATAACATTTTTAATAATATAGAGAAAGTGTAGACTGAATTACCAATCTTAATTGTATCTGTGTTACATGCAGTATTCCCTACCAATGGTAAGGACAGTACTAATCAGTCTGGCATATTCTGGCCAGGATATCACAACCACAACTGAAGCCCAGTTTTATCATACATGTGCTCATCCTATCCTATGTAAGCTAGTACCTGCAATTATTGAACTACCTTGTAAGCCACCATACTGTTGTCTGTATTCCAGCTCCGAGTTTCACCCAGTATGCTAACACACACTCAGGATGCACGCTGTTTAAAGAAGAACCTTGTCTTATCTGTCCCGAAATTCACAAGCATTTGTTTTCACTGGCTCATTCTGACATCTACATTTTGAGAGACATCTACTTACATCCTTTATATCTTTCTTGATTGTAGTTGTGCATTATGTCTCCATTTATTCACATTTTTCTTAAGCTAGATGGCAAAAATGCCCCCATTGGGCATATGGTAGCTGTTCTTGTGGCTTTTTTTTTTCTTTTCCCTTTTCTCTGCTCTATAAAATATATGTATAGATACTCACAGACGTACAGTGAGCAGTGTAAAGCTATTTTAATGTTTAAAGCAGGTACCCTTTTAAAAGACTACATTATTGTGAAATACAATCTTCAAGTCTGACAATCACAGTTGGGCACTCTAAATGACAGATTCCCAGCATCTGAGCGAAAATACACACTTTTCTCTTAGGCTGGACTCTGGCATCTAGATGCAGTCAAATCTTTCAATACCCACATTCCCAGAAATGAAAAAGATTTTCTTCCTTCAAAACTGAGATGATTCTCCTTCAGCCTCTGTTTATTTCTAGGAAGAAGGAATTTCCAGCTTTTTGTTTACTGAAACAAAAAGAGCTTATGTTTCCAGCCTCATTATTCTCTATAGGAATAGGAGAAAGCTTTAATCTGGAAGTATGTAAGAATAATTTGATCTGTTTTATCTATGTGCTCTGAAGCACTCTGTCTCTGGACCAACTTTGAAAATGATGGTTAATATCAGCTCTTTTCATCCATAAATGAATGCAATAATTTGCCTTTAAAATTATACCATTTGATTTTGGCTTTTTAAATTGGGGCATCTCCTGGTTTGCAAACCAGTGATATCAGATCAGTGCCACCTTCTTGTATTAATTTTTATATATTCTGATGGATGGTTCACCCCCACATTCATTTGCAGATCTCCAGATCAGAACAACCCCATAATTTATATTTTCCAACACTGATTACCTGCATTTTAATATTTAATGCTAAAAATAGATTTTTATAATTTTATTTTTCTCTTTAATTTTAATTTTGTTTAATTTTAAGTTTGTTTAATTTTTTCTATGCCCTGTGAGATAAGTCCAGTTATATTCTATTTTTAGAGAGTAACCCTGCTGATAGACAGATAGGCAGAGTCCTAAACTCCTTTACATAGTTTCTTTCCAAGGCTTTGCTGGATTGAAAAAGAATAAGCAATGTAAGAGAAGCATGCAGAACATCGTTTCTATTTTTTTCCTAATCTGTTAAAATAGTTCTTTTCGGGGCATTGTGAGTAGGCAATTAAAGCGGGGAGGAGTACAATGGAGCAGTCAGCAACCTTCTGAGCCACTGCCAATTACTTCTCCCAGCGGGATATATTGGGGGAATTTCTCTTTCCGTAACCTCCAGCTGGAACCAGCCCATTTTAAAACTTAAATGTTCTTTTGCCCACCTTTTCCCCTCATGGACAATTTGATCCCACTCTGTTAAGTTTTTGAAGTGTTACTCTACTGATGGACAGACATTTACTGGGATTATATCTGAACCTGTTCTTCCTCATTCAGACCCTAACAACTTCCAGGCACTGGGATAGCATCTCTTACAACATCTCATTTGGCTTGGTCTTGACATGCATAATTGGGTATCATTACCTGCCACCATGTTGGAAGATAAACTTACCCAGCAGCTTCATTTAGATGTTAAATAGTACAGGGGAGAATATCAAGCTCTATGGCACACCACAGTGGAGGGCCCTAGAACATCATCTCTTCCCCACACCAACACTGACTTGGTGAAAGTGTAGCATCACTGTAGAACACTGCCTCCCACTCCCAACCCTCAGAGGCAGTTCAGTGATTGATTGATTGATTGATTGACTGATTGATTGATCATGACTGATGGTATCAAAAGCTGCTGAGAAATCCAACAGGATCAGGAGAGTAGCACTATCCAATTACAATTCTAACAAAGGTCATCCACAAGGATGATCAATGTGGGTTTGGTACCATGTCCAGGACTAAAACCGGACTGAAAAGAGTCCAGATAATCTGTTTCCTCCACTTGACTTCTTAATTGTAAGTCTACCACCTTCTTAACATCTAAAAAGAGAAGGTTGGAGATGAGCCCAACAGTTCTCTAAGATTACTGAGTTAAGGGATGGCTTCTTCAGGAATTTATTTCCAACATTTTGCAGGGTTGGAAAGAATAGAAGCAGCAAATTATATAACAGACGAGTGATATTAAAAAAGCACAACATGGTAACACAGATACAAACAAAGGGGAAGCAAGTGATGGAGATATTAGCCTGTTACCTCTCTTCACGGTTCTGCCCAACACATACACGGCCTCCATGCCGAGGGCTTGGGTTACTGCAGGAACGTTGGCGTACTTGAAAGCCTATTCCACAAGAGGTGCTGCACGGAGACCACGCTGACCATGGAGTCCAGCCTCCATTTCTGTAAGAACAATAAATCATGCTCAGTGATTTCTAGGGACGCATTTCCAAACAAATATTTCATTCCTCAATGAATGAAAGGCTCTTTGTGGGGTACCTGGAGGGAGAACAATGATAATCAACAAAAGGATTAAGTGTCCTTTCATCAATGCTAGAGATCTCATTACAAAGCCCAAGCAGCTTTTACAAAATGGGCAATCTAACATGAGCTTAATTACATGGTTAGACCCTCTGTTTTCCAAAAAGATCTGATTTTTCCCAGTTGAGAGTTTCTTTTGAGGAAATCCTCCTACAATCTAGGAGCAGAATACATGTTTCTTGAGTAACAAGCTTTTGTGGAATAACCTCTGGGAAAATCTAATTTCTCCAAAACTGAAATATTGTTTTGGATCTTTCCATCAACTAAGCAACTATAACATTATGCTAAAGTGTTTTGGTTGTTGTGGTTGTTGTTCTTGCAATCACTGGGTCATGGGCTGTGTATATTTTGGTCTAAACAGAATCACCATTGAGAAAATCATAAGAGAAGATATCGTAATTCAGGATTTACTGTTCTCACATGATTTTCTATGACACTAAAATAAAAGAATCATGTATATTTGTAATGGGCTGTGAGAATAACCTTGGGAGACAGGAGGAAGAACTACAGCCAGGGCAACCGTTGGACAAGAGGCATCTCAGCCCACAAAAGGAATGGGGGTGGAAGCAGCACCTAGTTCTCTGGAAAGTAAAGGCAAGGAAGGGGAGAAGTGCTTTCAGACTTGCAAGATTCTGTTACTGTAACCTTGCAATAAAGGTAGCATTAGTACTCATGGTTTTGGTTTCTTGTCTGAATTACCTCAAAGGGCTGACAATATTTCAGTTGTATGCTCTTTAAAAAAGAAAATGAAATAATTGTATGGCTAATTCAAAGTCTGCCAAATTTCAAACTTGTGTTTAATAGCAAAAATTTAAATCTTGGAACTCATGAAACCTCTTAGTTATTCATACAGTATTTTAACCACAGTTCAAGTTTTAAAAACTTTCTGAGGTAGCCAAGATCCCCTTTCTCTCTTATCATTTCAAATGATCCAATGTACCATTAAAAACAGCACACAACTGAAAACTACACTTTAGTTTAAAACCATATCCTCCCACTGTATAAAACCTAGGGTTGAAAAAGTAAGTGAAATAATGTATGTAGGCTGAGGTCATGAATTCCAAAGAAAGAGTTGAGGCAGGACTGAAGTGTCAGGCAAAGAGGTCTGCCATAGGTAATTTAAGACTCTATGCTGTAGTTTGTGTCATAGTTCTTTGTTTCAGAAGACTAAAGATTCTTCAATCTTTTAATAGTAAGAAATCCATGTTTGACACTGTGCAGTTAAGAGACAACTATGTTCAATCACAAGTCCTTAATATCACACAGTCTGGGATCTAGATCTACCGCTTACCCTGGAAAAGGCAGAATCTGAAAAGTAAGTAAGTCTGGATCACGTTGGTTGCAAGATCCATCATTTATCCTGCACTAAGTAGGAATTGAGGCATTTTTAGGCTTAATGTTGCATTTGGAGCCCTGGCAAATGGCACATTTTGGCACCAGCTGGAGCCAGAATTACTTGTTATCAAATATACAATGTGTGTAATGTACTGTATTATACTGACTTATCTTAAACATATAAAATGTGAAGTGGCTCTGTTTGTTTGTTTGTTTATTTATTTATATTTCAAATTTAGATACCGCCCATCTCACAAAAAGTGACTCTGGGTGGTTCACAATAAAACAGCAATAAATATTAAAATACAATAAAACAGTAAAAATAGAATAAAAACCAAACACATACCCAAATAATTTGTGAGCAATTCTATTATTTATTAAAATAATTTATTATTTGAACAAATTATTTATTTGAACAATTATTTGACAAATAATTTGTCAGCAATGACCGGGATGTACAAATAGTTTCCCAACAATTCAATATAATATTGTTTATTTTATTTTTTACATACCTAGAACAGTTAACAATCTCAATACTTGACCCTTCACACTGGCGACCCCCACATTTTGGAACTGGATTGTCACATAAGCGTGTTCTACAGAGGCAAATGCCTACACTGGATCCATCTACATGTGTACAAGGCTTCCACTCTGACCAGGTCCCAAAACGGCCATCCACAGTCAAATTCCTCTTCTAGAAACCAATGAGAAAACAATAAATCCCATATTTAAGGTAATAGATAATCATTATATAAATAATTACAGGTCCAAATTGCCTCACTGATCTTATATCTTATACCTTATATCTGGCAACTTTTCTCGGATAAGCATAGCCTTGTCATAATTCTCCTTATACTGATAACTTCAAACCTGAATAATTGTGAAGGGCTTAAGGTATTGGTGACTGCAGCTAATGCACGCTGCTAAGACTTGAGATATGCAGGGGAGACCCTTATTGCACACGTTACACTTGTACAATCAGTTATGTGCTAGTTACTAATTAACTATCAAACTACCTTTAAGTTGGTATTGTTAATTTATAAAGCTTTAAACATCTTAAGACCAGGTTGCCTAAGGAACCATCTACTTTCATACAGGCTTACCTTGTCTGAGGGACCACCTCTCCCACTATGAGCCTACCAACTATTTAGAGCAGCAGGAAAGGCCCTTTTGAAGGAGCTTCTCCTGCCAGAAGCTTGGCTATCTGATATGCAGAAGATGGCCTCCTCCTGTCTTGCTTCTAGCTAATGGAATGCTCTCAAGAACATTCTCCCAGGATTCAGGAAAATGGGCAAAAAGACGCATCTTTCATCAAGCTCTTAACTGTTAAATTGATTTTATAGGTGGTCCTTGTTTAACACTTGTTCAGCTACTGTTCAAATTTATGACAATGGTGAATGAGTGGTAGTTATGACCGCACCTCACACTTATGGCCATTGCAGTGTCCCTGTGGATCACATGATTGTGATCTGGGCACTTGGTGCCTGGCTTGCAATTATGATGTTGCAGGGTCCTGTGGTCATGTGACTGAGATTTGCGACCTTCTCTGCCAGCTTCCCACAAGCAAAGGAAATTGGAAGTTGCAGTCATGTGAACTCCTCGCTTAATGACCTGCACAGTCCTCACTTAATGATGGCAAGTGGGACTGCCAGAACTGCTGTTGCTAAGCAGCACAATTACATGGTTTTTCCAGTCCCAATTAGCATTGTTAAGTGAGGACTACCTATAATTGTCCTGAGTTTTATTTTAATTGCTTTTTCCCATTATTATTATGGTTGGCCACACAGTCAGCCAGATGTTTGAACTGGATTTGGCATTTTTATCCACCTATTGAGTCCTTCCCAAGGACCTGGGATAGGCAGA